TAAAAATGTTATGCAATGGTATATACAGTTCAACTCTTGTACTAGTGTTATATTTTAAAAAATTTCAAAGATTCAAATTCGAATAGAATTTTTTCATATTTTTTTTTATTTCTTTTAAATGATTTTTATTTCTTATTTTTAAACATAAATAAAAATTAAAGTATATAAAAGTATATAATATAAGGAATATATTAAAAAACTTATATTTCTTTTCAATACAAAATTTTCGTGACTTTAATATTGTAATTAATATTATTAATAGTATTTTATACAATAAAAATTCACATAATATAAAAAATATACTTTTAGATTTATTTAAAAGTAATTTGATACATTTATTAATTTTAGATTTTAATTTAATTTGAACAAAATTTCTATCTCTTTTTATGTTTAATTAAATAATTAATTTAATTAAATAATTTAATTAAAATTATTACATTATTTATTATTATTTATTTTTTTCAATAAATATATGATATAAATCGTATAATTATTCGAATATGTATATATATATATATATATATATATATATATATTTTTTTGCCATTTTCTGAATATACTTGTTAATATTTTAACAATATTATAATAATATATATATAACAATATATTTTATAATAATTATTATGTATTATTTTATTTTGAAATTTTTTTTGAAAAATTATCATTTATAATTTTTAAGAATATATAATAATAATTAATTAATTACATAATTAAACTTATATATTATTTAGTTGTTAAAATTTTATTAAAAATTTAAATTTTATTCAAATTAAAATTAATAAACAAAATTCTACAATATTTTTCTTGAAATTACTAAAGTTACTGAACATATATACTTTTTACGCTAATTATATGAGTTTTAAATTAGTTTCAATTTTTTTTCATAATTATTATTTTGTGTTATAATAAGTAGTAATTACAGCACGGAAAAATATAAAAAATATACATAATTTAAATAATTTAGATTGCAAATACCAAAAGCAATAATAGATTTAGATTTTTTATTTCCAATCTATTTATCTAAAAATATTTCAAAAATTTTATTAAAAGAAGAAATTATGCAATATAATTAACTAAAATTTTTTTTCAATTATATAAATACAATTTTTTGCATTTTTAATTTTCTAATTTTAATATATTATTTCACTATCAGATTTATTTTTATTTCTTATATTTCTTTAATTATATTAACATTCTTATCTTTTAATTCCTTAGAAAGTAATATGATAGAATAATATGATAGAATAATATGATAAGGATAATATGATAAGAGTAATTGTATTAAAAATATTTATAAATAATATACTTTTATTATACTTTTATAGCAATATATTAATTTTGTTTATTAATAAGAAATTTCTATTTAATTATAATGCTATTATTTTCTATATTTTACTTTTCTATATAAAATTTTCGATATAAAATATAGAATAAATTTATTTATATAAGATATTTGATATTTATATATGATAATGATGTATATGATTTATAAAAAATTATTTTTATTGTATACTATTAATATCAAAAAAAATTCGTGCAAATCATTTAATTTGAATAAAATTTATTTCTTACTTGGTAAATTTTATTTCAAATTGAAATAAGATATAAGTATTCAAAATAATTTATTTCGGATATTTTAAATTCAATACTATTATTTGAAAGTTAGATTAAGATTATCATTAATTCATTTAAAACAATAATTTATTGAATTATTTTGTTATTCCATTATTTTAAATTCAATTCAAAGAAAATAATTCTCAAAATAATTTCAAATAGAAATTATAATATATATATGTGTAAATTTAATATTTTATAAACTGAAGTATAATATAATATAAAATAATAATAAAGTACGAATAATATTATTACAGAGTTAAATAATACAATATAAATTATATTGAATTTTTAATTATTACTGAAAATAAATTAATTACAGAAAATAATCATAATAATTATTATTAATCAATTAACACAAAAATAATGTGTAATCTGTAATTATTAATCAATAATTTGTGATCATTTAAATGATTATCACATACACATATATATATTGATTTTGTATATATCATATACAAAATCAAAATTTATAGAGAAAGAAAATCTAATATAGCTTTTTAAAGAAGCAATAAAATAATCTTAAAATAATCTTAACTTAAAATTTATAGAAAGATCAAGAAATTGTACGATGACAAATTTTTCAATTTTGAAAATGTCATTTAACTATTTTTATTATATTTTTTATTATATTTTTTATTATACATATATTTCGTTTGTGAATAACAATTAAATTTAAATATCCATTATCGATATCCAATATTTTTTTAATTATAATTGGCAAAAAAAGATTTTCTTTTATATAACATGCTTTTGCCAACTTCTCTTCACTTCGTATGGAGAGATTATTGTCAATAAATATATGTAATAAATGTAACAAAAATATATAGATTAGATGAAATGTTTAAAGTGAAAATTATATTAAAAGCACATTATATTTATATATTAAAGTAAATAAGTAATTTATTCTTTATTTATTCTATATTTAAGAATTAGTTAAATAATAATCTATTTCTAAAAAAAATATTTCTTGTTATAAATAAATTACTGATTCAATCTTAATCAAAAATATAATTATCTTTTTAATGATTTTAATTTGAATTTGATTAATAATTAATGATAATTAAATTAATTATTACTTTTTATTATAATATTGTAATTATTTTTCTTAATTATTAATGAATAACTATAAATAAACAATAATTAATAATATTAATTATGATCCTCAATTATTAATTAGATTAAATTTTGCTCAATTTTTTATGGATATTTATAGAATAACATTATTTTATATAATTATTTTAATAATCATGGAATGAACATTTTATATCATATAATATTTGAAATAATAAAAATAAAATTTGATATTTTATAAATATTACAAAAAATTATGAAATAAAAAAACATATTATTTATATACAATATTAAAAATAATGCGATTTTAAATTATATGTAAATCTGGATTTAAGATGGTAAGCCAATTGTAAATAAAAATTGAAATTGAACATGTCAATCAAAATTTATATTTTATGAATTTAAATTTAAAATAATAGATACAGTAAAATTTATTTGTAATGTTTATAAAAATATAATCCTTTATTTTTATTTTTATTTTTATTATTATTATCCATTTTATTATTATTATCTATTGTTTGACTTTTTAAACAGATAAGAAAGTATGATAACGAGATCAAAACAACAATAAAATATTTTTTATATGAAAAGCTCAAGATTTTTATAAGAATCGTATGTATATGTAGAATTAAACATTATACATATCACAAAATAAGTTTATATTCAAATATTGAATTATTTAAATAAAATCTTTATCTTATTTTTTATTTGCTATATTATTTTTTTATCTTAAATAATATTTCTTTAATAATAATTTATTTATAGAAATTATTTTAATATTAATTACTTTATCTTATACTTAAATATTTATTATTTAATTCCAAAAACAAAAAAAAATTAAAAATTTTCTATAGTGAAATGGAATTCTTATACGAATTATTCTTTAAAAACATTTCTTTTGTTTAAATATATTTCTTTTCATATTTTTTATATATATATAAATTAGCTTATAAATTTCTTGATCAAAAAATACTGAAAAAAAAAAGATATTATTTTAATGTTTTAAAATCTTTTTTGTAATTATTATAAAATCTTTTTTTTATATAATGTTTAATTATCTTATATTTATTTGTATAATTAGAATATATAGTAATTTTAGAATATTAATTTCATATTATTTTATTAATGAATTATAATGAATTATAATTATAAAGATTATTTATAAAAATAATAATTTATTTAAATTTTTCTATGATGATAAGAATGAAATAAGATAAATTTAATAAGAATTAATAATAAATAAAAATAAATAAAAATAATAAATAATAATAAATAAAAATAGAATAATAAAAATTATTATATTATTATATTATAATTAAAAAATAAAAATTATAAAACTTTTTAAGTAAATTAATTCTAAATTTTGAAATATGAGAATCAATTTTCTTGAATTATAATTTTTTCATAAGAAAAAATGCAAAATCATGTTAATAGTGATGTATAACTATACAGAGATGAAAAGAAAATACAAAGACAAGAAAAATGCCGCTTGTTCAGATTAATTCACTCATCGTCACATTGTTATATGATTTAATTTGTGTTTAGTGTTGGACTTTTGGCCAATACCTATTTTTATGCATTGGTTTTATCTGGTTTAAATGACCAGTCAAATTCACATATTTTCAAAATACATATACATACTTATATAATATATGAGATAAGCAAATATTAAATAAAATTCATTAGTAAAAATAAGAAAAAAAATTTTAATTGGCAATTCGGTTGAATTTGTTAGAAAGACAAAAGTTTTTTTTAACGAATATAAAATTTCATTTTATCATTGATAAATTAATTTAAATAATTTTTTATATAAATAATCATAGTATAAATATTTATATCATAACTTTAGATAAGTGATATATTTTAAAATAACTTATACTTTTACGATTCATTATAATTGTAAAAATAAAAATTTTTTTTCATTTGAAATGAATGATATATTTTAATATTTATAATCTATTCTTTAAAACGATATTAAAAAAATATTACTAAATGTATATAAAAATTAAATATATAATTTCTAATATTAATATAATACAACTATAACAATACAAATATAATGATTTTTATCTTACTGATCGATTTATTGAATTGTATTTTTCAATAATATTTATACATATTAAAAATAATAAATATTTTTCTATATAGTAAAATTTTAATAAAATTTTTATAATACATTGAGGTACTATCGTTATTGTTGCTGATGTTTTATAATATATCAATTAGAAAATTGAATACATTAAATCATAAATTTTTAATTTAAATCTTCACAGGTTTTCATGATAACGATTATCTTTTTCTCTATATAATCTAATGTGCCTTATAAAAACATCAGTTTGATATAACTTTATGTATAATGAGAGATATAAATATCAATATTTACACACATTATAAAAATTTATTTAAATATAAATTCAATATTACATAGAATCTGTTCAATTGATATTCGTATATGGCACACATGACGATTGACTGCGCAGTTTTAATGTACACATGCAACTATTCTAATACACATTTCAATAATTAATATGTGTGTGAAATATGGATAGAAAGAACGAGGCAAAGTGGCATCGTCCCCACGCACGCGATTTACATGCGCGTCAACTACCAACGGTAGTTGAAACAGCAGTAGTGCTATTGCTTTCCATTCGATCGGACTTGACTATCGCAGTGAACAAATGCGCATGCGCATTTTGTTGTTTCGTTTTATACGCCTGCGCGTGCCATTACTTCTTTTGGCGCACAATTAATAGATTTGTTGAACTATCAAGATATGACCGTGAATCATAAGTGAAAATAATCTGCGATTTCGATTCTGCAGTTTTTTTTTGAAACTGTTTAAACAATAGTGTTTGTTATTGATACATTTTGTTTGGAAATTGTTTGCATTTTTCTAACTTTAACGAGTTTTATAATAGGTGAATATTATTACGTGAAGAGAAAGCCGTTTTTTCATCATATTGTAGGTATTGAAACATGAAATAATAACAATTTAAGTTTGATTTTTATAATAATATATGATATTTATAATAATTGATATAATAAGAATTTTTGGAATATTCTATTTTATATAAAGATATTCATATAAGATATGTATATTATTATATTATTACATTATTAAGATATATCATGTAAGATGTATTATAGTAATAGAATTTGAACTTATTTCATTAAACTTTCGGTATTTTAAGCGATTTGATTGATGTTCTTGTTTTTAAATGGAATAGATGTTTTAATAAAACGATTCTATATGATGGGAATTTATAAATGTATATATATAAATATATATATAAATATATATAAAACTATGCAATTTATTATATATAACAGTAATTAATATATAATATATAATAATATAATTAATTAATATAAATAATTAATATATAATATATAATATATAATATAATTTTAATTGCATTAAAAAATAAAATACAAAATATTATTTTTAGTTAATATATACAATAAAAGGATATTATTTCTTTTAATAGTACTTATATAAAAAGTATATAATATTTAAATATTATTATTATGTAAATTTCATTAACATATTCATTATTTTATATTTGAGTTTTTTGTCATGAAATAATTAAATATTAATTAATATGATTTTTGCAATGAAATAGTAATAGTTTAAAGATTTATGTGTATATTTCCAAGAAGGAAACAATATCTTGCATAAAATGACTATTATTAATTACTTTATAAACGATTCATATATTACATAATAGATTTATATAAAATAGTATTTAAGTTATTTAATTGAAATATATTGTGATATAGTTATTTTTAATTAATAATATAAATGTAATAATACAAATGTAATATTTCGTGTTCTTATGAAAGATTTCTATTATTTTTTATATTATGTTTATTTTTATTTTTAGAGTTTCATAGAATTATAAATTCTATTAGAATAATATATTTAGTCTTATTCTTCTTATTGATAAATTTAATTAATAAAATAATGCGTTATAATGTTTAAAGCAAGTTTAATATGAACGGACACAATCAGTCATTTCTATATTAAGAATCTATAATTAGAAATTTATATCTATGGTAATCATTTCGCATAAATAGAGTAAATGCGATATAAGTAAAAAAAAAAAAAAAAAAAAAAAATATTCATGAAAATGTATTCAATTAATTTTTATATAAGTTTTATTTCTTTTTCTTAAAAAAAAACGCGATTTATATACTTTTTTCTTGATAAAGTAAAATATTATAAAATAATAAAAAAACTAAATAATTCAAAGTTCAAATATATATAATATATATAATCAATATATAATTATTTAACAAAGTAATTTTTATTGTATCATTTTTTAAAAGAATAAAATCTTTATAAAAATAAATTAAAAAATATTATGTATTTTACATACATTATAAATTTGTAAATTTATCGTGAATAATAATAATTCATTTTATTAATTTTTTAGTATCGTATATTTATCTTTGAAATATTTTTTTAATTATTAAGATTTTTTTTTATAATAAAGTAAAAGTAAAGTAATATTGTTATAAAATAGAACTAAAATATTATTACTTATAAATATGCAATTTATATATGTTTATACATGTTTATACATAGGTATATATTTATATTTATTGTATATGCACATATTATTAGTATATTTAGTTTATTTATATTATATTATGAAACATCTTTGGATATTAATTGTAGAGAAGAAAATAAATAAAAAATGTTATACAAAAATATTGCTTAAGACTTCTTTGTTAAGCAATGTAATTTCATGTGAGATGAAGAAGTGAGAATACAATACAACAACGCAATGGTACAATGGAGATAGAGTGATTTCATTCTCTCATTTCGTCTAATGTAAATTTCAGTTGCTTATAACTTAATAAATAAATTTTAATATTAAAATTTGATATTTTATATATTTTTTTCTATTTGTTTTTATTTCTAAAATCGACTTTCCAAAGGTAATATGATTTTAAAACATGTACATTATGTTGGTATTACAATATACAGAATATATTTATCCTAATATATTTATCATAATATTTTATATATATATTGTATAATAACAACATAATATATATGTTTTGAAATCATATTACCAATTGAAAAATTACATATATGAAAATCATGGTTTTGAACATATATTGAATATGTCTATCTTACAATCCATGTATTGTTTTTAAAAATATACGTGTATTAATATATTCTTATTTTATTATATATTATTTTTATTATTAAACTTTGGCATTTTCTTATTTTATTTGAATATAAAATAATTTAAAAATAGATAAGAAGAAGATAAGAATAGATAAGAATAAGAATTTTAGAAAACTATTAATCTAACTATTAAACATTTTTTATCTATAATAGTTTTTTGATGAATAAAATCAAAAAATATTAATTTTAATTTTTAATTCATAATATTAAAAAATATACTTTTAAAAATGCATATTATTGATGCATATACATTAGGTTATATAAATGAATTGTATCGTTTGAATCATTGTGGGATAAGAAACATGTTCTATGGCGATTTATTGATTGTAGGTATAGATTTCTAATTTTTCATGTACATTCCAACTAATATATTAATTGTTAATAAAATTTTTATTTGTTGAAATTAAATTTTTTATACTGTATTTACAATATAACCTGACAATTTTTCTAATTTTATTAATTAATTTTTTCATTATCTTGAATATTCTGTATCCAAGATCTATTCAATATTTTGTTATCTCTTAAATACTTTGTATCCAAAGATAAATCAAAATTAAATTTATCTTCAAACATTTCTAGCTTTTGATTAATATTATATAGTTTTATTTAGTTATATATTATAGACTTTTAAAATTAAGATTATTTTTTTTGTTAAAAAAGATTTTTATTAATAAAAAATTTCTGTTGATAAAAAAAGAGTAAAATTAATGGTTCTCTAAACTAAAATTCAATCTTGAAATAATGAATTATTTTAAATATTTTATCTTTTTATCTTTATCTTTATCTTTATCTTTATAATATCATCAGAAAAATAACTTTATTTCGTTTGAGATATACATAAATTATCTTAAAAATAATATTTTTTTTTATTTATTTAACATGCTTACCAATTTGAATGATCATTTTTGTTTTATAATTTACAATGAACATTATATGGTTTGTTTAAAATTAGTATCCATTTGATTGAACTAAACTAAATTTAATTGAAGCTTTCCTTAATATACAATTAAAAAAAGTATTATTATATTTTTTACACTTAGTCTTAAAATTAATTTAAAATTATTTCTAAATTATATATTTTTTAAAAATTGTGATTGCAGAATTTATAATACGGTCAAAATGACTGCTATTTTTCAAAGAAAGAACGTATTCGGACGTTTCTATCATTTGAAGCACTCAAATTGTATGTATTTTGGTATTATTTTTAAGTTAAGCAATGTTGCATAATTTTTTTATATTTTTAGTTATTTCAATAGTAGGATTTTATCATAAATTTAAAATTTTCTAAAATTAAATTGACAAAGATGGTCCATTGCAAGACAACTATATATTGAATTTCGCTATATGTAGAATGCAAAAATCCATAGCATTAGTCAAAATTCTCACCCTTCTTGCCTCTCTTCACAATAGATTTTTTATAAATATTATAATCATTTTTCATGAAAATTAATTTTTTTGGTCAGCTATTCTTGATTTCATTTAATCTATATTAATGTTAGGATCTTTACAATATTGAGTTTATAAATATATTAGTGAAAGAGAGTTTATAATTATAATATTAGAGTTTATAAATATATTAGTGAAATTTTGATTCAATATTCATATGCATCAAAGTTTTAATATTAAATTCCATTTTTTCATATTTTTTAAAAAAATACCGAAGTAATATTGAAAAATCATCAAATATCTCAAAATATATCCCCTCCCTCCCCCCCAAAAAAAATATATCCCAAAATATATCCCAAAATATATCAAAAAAATAAAAAAATATTGATACTTATTTAATATTTTATTTTTCATTTTTATATATTATCAAAAATAAATATTGAGCTTAGTTCGATAGAGTGAAAGAATAAATATAGAATAAATGGAACCGAGATAAGCGACTAGCAACGATCATCTAATTTTCAATAATTTTATCAATAATTTTATAATGTTTATAAATGGAAGTTAAAATACAAAATAGATATCAAAATCTTCGTAAAATATCAAAGCATACGTAAATTAAATAAAATAAATCATCAAATTTATATCGATATTTTCACGAAGAATCAAATTGATATCATCAGACGGTTTTAGGTGCAAAAAAAAATATATATTATTATTAAAAATATAGTATTAATTATTAATTATAATATTAATTAATAATAATATTATTTTAAGAAATCAATCATTAAATATCTAAAATTTTTACATTGATATCTTCTATTAAATATTTGAATAATCGATATTATTCGATTCGATCACTATTTATGATTTTTCTTTTTTTCTTAATTTTTTATTTGTATTTTTTACAAGAGAATTGTTGATTTATTAGATTTATACTTACTTCTCTTATATATATAGATTATTTGAATGTTTCATGTTTTTACGATGTTTGTGTAGTTCGAATTAAAGATTATTTAATAGTGAAAAATTAAAAGATTTAAAGATTTTTTTAGAATTATTTATGTCGCTTTTTCAATAGAAAAATAAATAATTATTTACAAAAATAATTATTTACCATAAATTGTAATATTTGTTTGTTTTTTTATACATATCATTGGATTTGTTAAATATGAGTTTTTTCAAGATTGAATTAGTAGAAGATGTGATTAGTTTGTGGCAATTACATATTACTTGCTATCTTATAAGTTCTAACAGCATTAATTTATTTTTCACTTTTAAAATTTGATATTGTGCTCGTGTGTAACGGTTTTAGTATTAACGAAGATTTAAATATATTGAATAGAGAAAGAATTTTATTTGATCAATAAATGCTCAATT